TAAGTAAGAAGGCCAGACAGAAAAATGTACCAATGTACCGGAGCTTTACTCAAACCGAGTGATGGCAGAGCCTGGACATGTTACCACAGTGACACTACAAAGCCTACGCAGACTGCAAAATTCACCTCTTGGAATAATGAAGAGCAGCCAGTGCCTTTCTATGCATGGTGACTTGAGAAGCACACGCCTTCGTGCTCCTCAGTCCTGGAGACAAGATGAGGGTCTTCGAGCTCACCTGAGCTGCTGTCACTCAGGGGCAGCCCTTCTCTGGAACATTCTCAGGCACCCCTCTCTTACCCATTCGCTCCACCTCAATCTTTCCTTTCACCTAGGGATACACACAAGAAACGATCTCGCCTCCTACTTGATGGCACGATCCAGCGTGGTCAGCTGAAAACACCTTCAACTTCTGTTCCCCACTCATATTTGCCTGTAGATATCTCCATCCTCTAGAGCAGGACTCCCCAAGATTCCCAGGAGGACCACACTTCCACCCACCTCTCTACAGGTGCAAAAATCACACATGTATCTAAACACATACAAGTCTCTCCTACCACAAAAGCAACATAAACCCAACTGCTTTACAAATCTACATGCCTTGGTTTCTAGCCTTTATCCTCTTTCCATTTTCAATCAAGCTAATTGAAAGATTCTTAATTATTGTCTCCATGTCCTCATTAAAAACCCATCTAGATATCTAGCTCCTCTCCTCCAGGTTGTCACTCTACAACACTTCCGATGACTTTCTGGTCACCAAAGCCCTTCTGAATCCTTAACCTTACTGTGTCCTCTGCCACACGGGACACTGTTGACCTGTTTCTCTCTTGAGGCCTCGGATATCACACTCTGATGATTTCCTTCTTTCTTTCTAACCCTTCTGGACTCTGCTGTGTCTATCTCCTAAGGCTTCCCAGTCTCTGTCCACAATAAACTGTCATCTTTCTGGGTGCCCCTCTTCTGTCCCCATGGTTTCAATTCTACATACACCGAAAGCTTCCGCACTAGCCAGAGTGCAGACCTCCAGGCTGAGCTTCGGAGAGCTACATTTAACTCCCTACTTGAAGTCTTCAGTCAAAAGCCTCAAACCCACTGGCCTAAAGCCAAAGTTGGCACCTCCCGCGTCTCTGGGACTGGCCACTGTTCTTCGTGTTCTCAATCATCACAGAGCCTCACCCAGAAACCGGAAACAAATGGCCACCTCTTGACCCCTCCCACCTCCTCTCTCTCCCTCTCTCTCTCCTTCTTGTCCTCAACAAAACCCCACTTTATTAACACTTCAAAGAACCATTTACATATTTTGATCTCTATAATCACTAAATCTGGGTTCCAGATTATTCTTTTTGTTTTGTTTATCTCCCGTACTTATTTGTGGTGAAAACACAATAGACTCTCTTAGGAATTGTCAAGCGTAAGATTCATTGTCATTGTAGTCACCAGGATGTACATCAGAACTTCGGAACTTGTTCCTCCTAACTGGATCTTGCTATCCTTTGGCCAACTTCTTCCCAGTCTCCCCTTCCCCAGATCCTGGTAACCGCATTCTACTTTCTGCTTCCAAGTTTGATTTTTTAGATTTCACATGGGTCAGAAGATCCTGTGGTAATTCTCTTTCTGTGCCTGGCCCATTCCACTCAACATGATGTCCTCTAGGTTCATCTACGCTGCTGCCAATGAGACAGTTTCATTCTTTTTAAAGCCCACTTCATTGTGCATTTATAGCCTATCTCTTTATCCATTCACCCACAGACACTAGGTTGTTTCCGCGTCCGAGTTGTTGTGAACAGTGCTACAGTGAACACGGGAATGCAGGTATCTCTTCAACATATCTGTTTCATTTATTTTGGGTATATAGGCAGTGGTGGAACTGCTGTGTTATGTGGTAGTTTTATTTTTAATGTTCTGAGGGGATGCCGTGATGTTTTTCACAATGGATGTACCAACTTATATTCCTACCAACAGTGGGCAAGAGTTCCCTTTTCTCTGGGTAACTTTCAAAATGTCTGATCATGACACGTCACTCGCTGAAATAACTAAGACCCTTGTGTGCAAGATAAAGTGAAAACACCCTAGTGTGTGAACTAAAGGCCCAACCCATGACCTGGGCCTCCCTTCTGGGCTCCTTATTTTCCCACCATATTCTGTTTTGCTTCTAGACTCTTTTTTCCTTTAAGCTTCATTTTATGTACATGTATATAACACAGCGTAATTCTTGCTTCTGGCTCTCACACATACTATTCCTTCTACCTGGAACTTACTTCACACACATTTTTCTTACCTAAATTTTTCAGTATTAACTTAGAAGTCAAATCTTCCAGAAGACTTTCATAATCTCTCAAAAGTGCATCAGGTGACCCCTGACAATATCTGCTTCTGTAGCAAATGATGATTATTCAAGTAATTTTATTTATCTAACTCGAGAATAACTGCTTAGGTCTTCATAACTATACTCTATGAACTCTTCGAGGGCAGGAACCATGCCCAGTCTTTCTTCCATCTCTAATTCCTTATTCACCACCTGGCAGAGTAGGTGCTGAAAATATTTGTTGAAATTCCAAGGAAGGTCAGTAGAGCCGCTATGAGGTTTTCTAGGTGAGGGTCAGGCAAAGGATCTTCAGCCCCAGAGGCTAAGGGTCAAGCAGGAAGCCGTGATACTGAGGCTAAGGGAAACCATGCACGACACTGATTACAGGGAAGAGAGGGGTTTTCTTACACTTGTTTTGTCTTGTGTGTACCATGGCCCTGTAGGGGGAAGAGTTAAGTGTCTGATTCTGGACTATGCTGAGGGGCTCTGGAGGGAGAGGTGACCAGCAGTGCCCTGATCAGTAGTTATGAAAAGATGACCCGGGTCAGTCCTAGGGCAGGCTGGAGGCCAGGACTCATAAAGAGTGGCCTCTCCCGTGGCTGGCTCTGCCTCAGCAGCTGCGCCCTGTGTGCTGCCTGAAAGAAAAGGCAGATGCAGGAATGGGGTATTTCCCACCCTTTCTGTACCGGGCCTCCGCTCTGCCCAGCTTTGCTTGTGCAACTCCCACAAGGTGTTCCTAGGCTGCTGCAAAGAAAGAACACTGACAGGCATTAGTTTTTAATTGATGCTCTAGTCACCAAACACTTACTGGTAAACTAAAAATTCAGTGGCTCGCTATTGTCTGTAATGTGTACACATCATGCTATGAGAGAGAACAGAAACTACCCCCAAACCAAAAAAGCTTGAGTTTGATTTTAAACAGGGAATTTGGAAGGCAGAAAAGGGGACTTCAGGCTTTGTTCTATCATCCAACTACTACTGTTATAAATTTCTTCATACGTTTCCTCATTGGACACATGATGCTTATTCTACACGTATGTACTCAATTCAGCCCGGCCTCTTGCCTTCCCACACAACACCACCCAAGCCTTTTCTGGGTTGTTAGGACCGTAAGCAATGTTTCCTAATGCTGTACCACACGTCAGAGTGTAGAGGTGCCACAGTAACCGCTGTGGATGCCCGCTTCCAATTTAATGCTGTCTTGAGTAATACCAGACGAATAAGGTGGTGCACAGAGCTTTTTCTGTATTTCAGATATTTCCTTAGGCTAGAGTCCCAGAATTGGAGTTATTAGGTCAAAGTATGTGATTATTATAAAACTCTTAACACATACTGCCAAACTGCTTTCCAAAGGCCATATTTACTTACATTCCATGATAGTAACTATTTAACTAGATTTTGCTCTGAGGAGGACTATAATTAAAAGAAAACGGGCATACAATAAAAACAATACCAAAAAACCTTCACAGCTTTTGCTTTTAATTTGGCAAGCAAAAATGGTAATAGTATTATTTTAATATATGTATGTATTTTACTAATTGTACATTTTAATATAGATCAGTATATGTAGTTGTTGTTTTGCCTTTGCCGTGGATTTTCCAGCCCTGTGCTGACCTTTGATAGTCTGACACACACTACAGTCTTCACGGAGGTTATACAATATTCTGTGTGAAGTAAAAATAGTTTCCAGAGAGAGCAGCCAAGCAGCCAGCCTGAATCCAGACTCCAACCCTGAACAGATGTTTACTTGGCAGCCTAGCTGCAAGAATTAACATCAGAAAGCAAAGCAATTAAAGGAAAACACAAGCAGATCGCACAGCTCTGAATCATGGCTCTGTGAAGGCCCCAAACCATCTGGAGACAGGGCTCGGCATCCATCTGGAGAAGGACCGGCCTGCGAAGGGTGCGGAGACTGGGCCCAGGCCAGGGGCTCGCAGCTCGTGGTCCTGTCCCCAGCCATGGCTCCACACTGCATTCCAACAGATGCCAACTCCCCCTCTTCCTCTGGGACACAATCAATCCTCTCACAGGCACGGACCCTGTGTCTAACTTGGTATCTCTGGAAGCACCAGGGCCCGGCCCTGCGTAGTCAGCACACAGCACTTCTCTGCTGGAATGAACTGAAATTTAATCTTCCCAACTAGGGCAGACATCTGTCCCCCAGCCAGAAGATCTCTTCCTAAGGCCAGCAGCTGAGGAGAACCCACTCAGGACCCTGGAACCTGCAGAACAGGGCAGCGGGCAGCAGAAGGCAGCCCAACCCAGGTACCCAGGCACCTCTGCAGCATCTTCCATCCTCCTGGTCCTTGCCAGGTTCCCCGCGAAGCCGAATGCACCATGGGCCCAAGTGTGACCTTAATATGACAGGCAAAACTGGCAACCCATTATTTTAATGGGTCTTGTTTTAGCAGGAGATTTTTCCTTTTCCAAAAAACAGATGATTTTCAAAGGGCATCTTCTATGAGTGTACAGGATACCTTAAGCGACAACTGAGGAAGATTTTGATTTTGATGTCTTAAAAATGGTTTGATCACACATTTCAAAACACTTCTCTAAGATCTAACCCATACTTTAGGAAACACACTGACTGCCTTTTATTCTATACTTTCTTTTTTACAAAATAAAAAATCCCTACCAAGTTCTTGTATTTAGCAAAGAATTTACTAAAGCACTTAATAATAAAAAAACCAGGCACATATACTTGGCCATAATCTATCAAATTATTTATTCCAGCTTTCTATTTTGAAAGATTTCATTTCTCTCACCCATCCCGTTTAACTATTTGAAAAGATAGGAGTATTGTTTTATTTAATAACAATGCAATCATCTCACCAGAAAATGAAGCACAGGTTCAATCTTGTTACCTAATATAAATTCCACATTCATATTTTCCCAATTTCCCGGAAATGTTCTTTGTAGCTGATTGCAAAACAAATTAGCATCCAATCAAGGATCACGCAGTCCATTTAGCTGTCATTTCTCTTTCAGCTATTTTTGAGGCCAGCTTTTAATACAATAATTTGTCCTTAAAAATTTGGAAAATTCGGGCCAGTTGTTCTGCAGAATGCCTCACTGTCTGGCTTTGTTCCGTCTTGCCCTGTCGCGAGCTTCCGGTTGAAGATTCTTGGCGCTGTCCTCTTCTCACAGGCCAGGCTAAGAAGCCCAGGGTCTCAGTTTACCCCGTCACGGCCGCTGTCCAGCTGGCCCCTTGCACAGGGCTGTCTGCCAGCTCCCTCTCCGGCACAAGTGACTCCTGTGTGATGAACGCGTGACTGGCCAGCCGTTGGCCATGCAGCCACATTTTGTCCCCAACAACGCTTTCCTCAGTGTTGTCACCATCCCCTGGTGCTGTGGGGGACCCTGCAGGAGGGACTGCAAAACAGTGACTTTTCAGGTTCTGGTTTCTTCTGTATTTATTCCTGGCAGTCCTTCGTATAAGAGTATTCACACCACCATTTGGGATCTTTTTAGATTACTACCACAGACTCAGCATTTCCCTTTTTACTCAGGTTACAGTACACTGCTGTCTTTCACATCGCCCACATCTGGCGAGCAGTCAGCTCCTTTAGGTCAGCATCTTTGGATGGGTCTGCATCACTCTTCAGGTCTCCTTGTCCTACAGCCCGCATCAGGTGTTTTTGCCCAGAGCCCTGTTTCTTTTACTGAAGAATTAAAGTTTGAAACCAACATCTGAGCTTTAGAAATGCACTTATTTCTACTGCGGTATTTTTAGCTCTAGCCAGGCATGTCCAATCTTTGATTCTTTATTTTATTTTCTTCTACTTTGATTCTTTATTTTTTGCCCTGGTATTTTTGCATGAAGAGGAACTGTCTTGGGCTGCACAAAAATATGTAATATAGTTAATATATATGTAACAAAACTTCCTTTTCAAAAATATTTTTATTATAGATTAAAAAAAAGAACAGAAAGGCAAAACAGTGTTGAGAAACCAGGTGTAAAGACTGACGCCTGGGTGGGACCCTCCTTGAGATGCAGGGGACAGTACAGCAAGCTGACCCTCCCTGGCCTGTTCGCTGGGCATCAACCTATTTCAAGGAGCGAAACAACTACAGCTGAAGTCTATTAATTAGGTGCATTTGGATGCAAACTGTAAATTATGAACCTGATGGATTTCCCTGATGTCTGGATCACATGCTTGCCTGCTTCCGGTTTATGGGAATCTAATGAAAGGAGGAGCCCTGACAGTTGGCTCTCTTGTCCACTAGAGGCAGGAGTCCCCTGGCTCTCCTCTTCCAAGTCACCTTTGTGGTCAGCTGGTTTCTGCAGTGCTGGGAGATGGGCTGGACATGCCTGTGAGCCCTTTCAAAGGTCGGAGCTGTTTTACATCACCCACCTAATCTGTCCGCCTCTCTGCGCATGTGTCTGTCCATTTTGCTTCTCCCTTTTATTTTCAATCATAATTTCATACGGACGCCTCCAATTCTAATGCAATACTACAATCTCTCACCTTCCCTCATTCCTTATTGTAACTCTCTTTTCTCTCTGTGAGGAAACTGGCATGAACTTCTTTATTTACTCTATCTCCCTAAACATATAAGAGTTTCCTAATGACCATACCAGCCAAAGAGCAAGAACAAGTCATGATGTAAAGATAAAGATGTGTCTGAAAGTCTTTCCTACTCACAACACACCTGAGTGTGCAGTCAGCACGCTGTGATTGAAAGTTGTTTGAATTAATTCTTTGTGATTAGGCAATCAATTTGAGAAACAGTTCAGTTCCTTTGTTTATGTTCTTATTCTACTTTCAGGCACATTTTAACATTTTTTTGATTTAATTTTGTTTTAGGTAAATAAAACAGTCATATGTTTCAAAAGTCAAAGCCATATGAAAAGAATACTCGGCACATTGTCACGGCACACTACCCCTCCTACTCCATGCCCACTTGCGGAAGTAACCACTTCATCATTTCTAATTTAGCCTTCCTGCTTCTTTTTGCAAAAGTAAGCAAGTATATTCATATATTCTCATTGTTTTTTATATTTTGTCCAAAAGTATTCTTAATCTAGATGAAGAGGTAAGGAATTCTTGTGTAAAAAACTAAAGAATACCAAGGAGAATAGTGATGTCGAAAGCAGGACAGATAATCAGTACACTACTAAGTATTCTGGTGGTCTCTGTGCCTCCGTGAGAAGTATTCAGAGGTAGATTTTGACAATCACATTAATCATGCCCTGAATTTAAACACTGGCTGAGCATCCAAAGTTCTGCACTGCCAAACATAAGGCAGCAGCAGATTTTCCTAATGGAATGGAACTTTCCACACTAAGCCGGCTGTGGTCATTACACACATCTAGTCTCACCAACAATGGACACCAATGCCATGCCCTGGACCAAGAGGGAACAGTTATCGTTATACACAGGAGGCATGGGGACCAGTCACCTCAGAATCACATTCTAGAAATATGTGCAATGTAAGTAGATATAAATTAAAGGCTCACTTTAGAATAGTGTACTGTGAATACTAATGGTCCACCTTAGAAGAGGAGTTCTGTAAATAGCTCTAGCTAGCTTTAAAAGTAAAAATATATTTGGCTATAAGATCTTTAATTGAAAGATACTTCACTAAATATCCAGACAAAATCACTGATTGTAAAGGTAGTAAAGGCAAAATTCAGATGTAATTTGACTTCCTTTAGCCTAACAAAAATGTACCAGTTTAAAGAGTCAAATACCTTTGTAGCAAAATAGTAAGGTAACATTAATAATCCGAACACTGATAATATGTCCTAGACTGTATCAAGTGCTCAGTATGCATTTTGTTTTCTCTTCATAGTATTCACTGGAAGATATTATAATTACTGTAATGATTTCCATTTTGTAAATGATAAAACCACAGCTTTTCAAAGGTTAGGGGCTTTGCCAAAAGTCATAGTGCAATATAATCACATCAAGGATCCTTAAAATTTAGACTTAGGCAGGTCATCTACATGTGACTGCCCACTCTATTTTGACCAATATTATAAATGCCCATTATTTTCTAAAGTTAAAATAATTTTTAAAAGGTAGATAATAAAAACAGAGATCCAACTCAATTCCTTAACTTAGTCATTCTTTCAGCTAGTATACCTTCACACAGCTAAACATGCTAACACTCCTCTACTAGGCTTGTCTCTATCATCTACTACAAGAAATTCAAATTTAGTGTTCTCAGACATTTTTCACCTTTTTGCTTCCATTCATCTTCCCATAGTCGTGGTACACCTTTTTGTTAATTAATACTCCACAGCTAGAATATTGTGGTGACTAAACAAGCAATCTTTACTATTTACACTGATAATATATCATGCTGACATTTCATTTCTTCTATTTCTACAGTGGTACTGCATCACAGACTTATATTCTTCCTTGTTTTCTCATTTCTTGGTTTTTTAGCTTTCTATATCCTTTTGGTAATGCTTCTTAGGACTCTCCAACTGAATCGGAAAATTCACCAAAAATGTTTTTGTCTACAAAATTAGATTGATACAGTCTATCCAGTTCAGCTTTCCTTCCGTGCACTGGCTTTCCAAAGCCTCTGTGCCGGCATGACACAGCCTTTGTCCTGGTGCCGGGCTGGCTACTTCCTCCTGTGTCCTGGGCTCCCTGTTGACTGCACTGTTGCTGCATACCCCGTTCCTAGGGGAGAGGGTCCTCATGGAGGAATCACGCAGCCCATCTTTGAGTGAGGCAGTATGGAGCGCACTGGAAGATGTGGTTACCAGATGGGCATCTGGCTGTGACCAGATCCCACACTGGCCTTTCTGCTGGGAAATCACCAGGTATCAGGCGACCTTAGGTCTTGTCCTGGGGGCTCTACACTTTCTCCAGAGAAGAGTCCTCCACGTTCATGTCTGTAGGTGGATGTCAGATGCCAGGGTTAGAACATGTGGCCAAAGGGAGTGATGGAGACATTCCACTCTTGATGCGGATTAGCCTAGATCCTTGTTTTCCTTCCACGCCTCTTTCTAACCCACCTCTACCTCAGCCTGCCTGCAAGACCCAGCCTCCTTACACTAGGAGAGAGGTGACCGCCTAGTTGTGCGAGGTCAGCTGCAGTGAGGGCGGTGATATTCTTCCTCCCCATTTACGTTTTCCACTAATTCTACCACTTCCCACCCCACGACGAGTCTTCCCAACATGCTGGTACTGACCGTGCCCAGGGCTTTCTGAGATACACAGGCATGTGGAATAACACCTTTCTTCTTTGTATGCCTTTTTCAATCATCTAAGTTTTAGAAAGCTCTACTAAGTCAATTATTGCTCCAGCCACTTCTCACCTAAAAATGAGTCTGGATTTCTGGTCCACCATCTTGTCCTTTATTCTCATTGTCCTCGTGAGTTAAAACTCCAGTTTCATTCATGCTAATGTGTTTGGAAAGCCTTCAACATAAACAAAATGTTATGGTTTCAATGAAAATTCTTCTACTCAAGATTTGTCCCTAAAATAATACAATGATCTCATTCTGTTGTATCAAATTGAGGTATGAATTAAGCCAAATTCTGAAAAGACAGTAAATAATTCTACTTTTTCCCCTAACACCAATGCCTCCTGGATTTCCATCAAATCACTTGATTTCATAAAAATAAAGATAACTGCAACTTTCCTCAAATGTAAGGTGGGAGTCTTGACAAAAGAAATTATTTTAAATGCTGTACAAAATACAGAGCTGAAGCAGAAGAATTTCACGGTTCTATATTAACTCTAATCTGTGCTAATACCGAAGCAGGGAGCCCTCGTACCATGTCTTTATAAATAACATAGAGCTTAATAGTTCCACATCACCTTCAAACTTCTGAACACCCAGTAATAGAAGTGGCTAGTAGCTATACTTACAACAACTCTCAACTGATTATGTGCTCTTTTTGGTGTAACCAAAAACATTTTAAATGCATCAGAAAAATCTGATCAATGGGAATATATAGTAACTTCTGTTGTAAAGTCAATAAAATATGCAGTAACCTCCGTATACAGGGATTAAATGCTTTTCTGTATCACTGGCTGTGTAATTCTATGTTGCATTTTTATCTTTTGCTGCTGAATGTGTTAGATCATTTATAATATTATGCCCTAAGTGACTACTGAATACAATCTGAATAGAAAGATTAAGGTGAATGTTGCCCACATTGTAAAAATATACAGCCAGTTAAATTTAATAACTTCCCCAAAGCCAATGATATTTAAATACACATATAATAATTAAGGAGAATTAAATCTGTCTTACTCATAGGATTATATACACTAGACTTGAGCTTACAGACCTATATATGTAACACATGACCCTGGTATCAAATGGAGAAAAATGTGTGTGCTTCCCATAAGAAAGAAACCTGTATACAAGTATTTTCCCCAAGATGATTTATCTTTTGTATTTTATACACTGATACAGTACTTGTGTTCTATGACTAATTTATAATTCCACAGACAAACTTACAGCAGCTTACGCTGAAAGACATGCACAATACAGCTGCCACACACAGGTAAAAGCACGCCTGGCCTATTTTTCACCAAAGCGCTAATGCTGCTGACTTAAAAACCCCACTCAAGACACTGCCAATTAATCCCCCGTTTACTCCTGTCTCAGGGCAGAGGCAAACGAAAAACTCAAGATAGCTGTTTTTGTTTAAAGACAAAGACACAGCTCACTAGGAAAGGGAAACACTGTTTTCTACTTGAAATCGTAAGAAAATTGTACGACTTTCCTATAAGACACATTCAATGCCTGAAAGGCACTGTTGCCAAAAGCACTGTGCAGAACACATTTGCATATGGGCGTGTCATTTTTTTTGCACTTTAGCTCTGCTCACCGCTAAGATTTTTTAGAGCAAAAGGGGAAATCAGCAAAGGGAAAGTGGACAGCAGGCCCAGGCTTCCGGAGCCCCTCCCAGGGCAGCTGCACAGGCGCAGGGGCCTCCGGCCCTGGATGCGTGGGAGGTGCTGTCATCCAGGGCAATTCCTCGGAGACTCAGAGCTCGCGGTTTCCATGGGGTCTCTGCTAAGCAAGCACCCAGTCCCAGACTTGAGGGAAAGGCGGGTTTTCAGCATAAGCTCACCCTGTGCATAAACGAGCCAGCGCAGGGAGCCGCGGGCATCAGGGAGAGCTAGCGCCGCGTGACACAGTGCTGGCCAGTCCTGCCGCCTGGCTTTCTGAGGACAGCGGCCTCACCCTGCGGACTCTTTTCTGCAGACTCCGCCTGAAAACGCACGGGTGACCGGTTGACCGACCAACCACCAGTGCATTAAAGCGCAACCAGGAAACTCAGCTCTCCTCGCCCTCCCTTTAACCCTCTGTGGCGCCACAGGCTCCTCAGGCCCCTTAAGTTTCTCTGCTCTTCTTTGCTGTAAGAGGTCTTAAGAGTTTGCTATATTTTGTCTTTATTTTCTCACCTACAAGGTTTTTTTGGAAAAATTTCTTAAGATCTAGAAAAGTACAAAGAATAAAGAACCATATTGCTTATTCTAGCATTAACCTGCATTTGCTTAAATCAATCTCCTTCTTAACTAAACTTCTACTAAGCTCTGCCATTCAGCATTAGAGCTTTCCATGTTTGCTCTATTATATCACAAACTGAGGAATATTCTACTACATTTATGTGTGTGCATTTCTGATTATTTTCTCAGGAAAACTTGGAAAATTGCTAACCCTAAAACTAAATTTTAAGAGACATTTGATTAATATGTAGCTATTTTAAAAATCAACACTAATTTTCTGAAGAGATTTCTCTCATGGGGATATCTAGTAACTCAGGTTTATAGTTTTCTAAAGTTACAGCTTTAGAATATGTACTTAATGTGTCCCTTTTTCTTCCTTTTCTGGAATATCAAAAATTTTAAGTGACCTGATAAAACTCAGATACCCGCTGATAGCAAGAAAACTGCAAGCGGCGGCCTGGAGACAGGTGAAAGCCTAAGCATCCAAACTGCCCAAGGATAGGGCTTTTCTGGGAACACAGAAGCACATGGCTGGCGTATTCATGGGGTCCACTTTGTCCCCACACCCAGGTGGTCTGAGGACTGAGTATGAGGAGCAGGGTCCGCGTGGCTTTTCAAGAAAGCTTTCGACGTGCCCAAGAGTTTGACTGCGACAGGACTCAGTCCTCGATACTGTGACATCACAAAGTATGTGGAAGCTCACCCTGGCCTGAAATGGTATTTGTTTTTAATCTTAAAACGTAATTTTCCTTTCACCACAAAAATGGGTTCTTCAGCAAAATGTAGCTCCCTGAATGAATGAATCAACATAAGAGGGGAGTCTCCGGCACTGTGATTCTGAACTGCTTCTGGCAGTGATTAGTAAAGGATTCAGTTATCTCTCAAGTTTGAGGATCCCACCTATAGTCATTAAGCGCATGAGAGAGCCATCTACCACCTGATGAATAGCTGTGCCACATTACTTAATCACAGTATTACAGAGCGGGCAGCAAGCCCTTCCGGCAGTCACAGACTCTTCTCTCTACACCTCATCTGCAGGTGCACGCAGCGTTGTCCCAGGGAGTTGGGGAGCAAAACCCAGCAGGGCATCAGTCCCTGGCGTCATTAATACCCAAACCCTTCCTCCCGCTCTGCGGAGGTGTCCTAATGGAGACAGGGCAGCCGTTGTGCCCAGCTCCGGGAAATCCCTCCAAGGGCGCTGGCTGCCTGAGGCCCTCTGGAGAAAAGCACCCCTGTGCACTTTCGCACATACAAGCCCTTATGTTTGCGACGCTGTTCTCAGCCAACAACAAGCAGACGAGTAGAAATAATAAGTGAAATAAATTCCTCTTGCAAGCAGAGACAGCCTGGCAGGATAACCTCCCTGTGACGCCAAGCCCGTGCTCTCTGTCTAAGCTTTACACGAACTCGGGTCACAAGTTAACAGTAAGCACTGCTTTGCTTGCTGTGCTGTTGTATGCGATTTACTTGATAAATCTGACCCAGTGGGTAAAAAATGGTCAAGTGAGTATCTGAGTCAGATCTATGAGATAAAATGTTTTGTGCTTTTCCTGGTTGCCCCTCAGTGAGGCGACACAAGGAATAGCTGCAGTGTAGTGAATGAATACGGACTATTTTGCTACCTCTCTCCTCTCAGAATTCATACTTTTCTTCTGCTGCATATTCACTATGAACTAGCATGAGTGACTCTGCATAAAAAAGGCCAGAATTTTCAGATTCCTTTTAGCCCAGGCTCACTCTCACCCATGAACCCTTCTATTGCCACACTCAGAGGCAGCTCATGGACACACACATCTTATCTGTCTCCACCTCCCTCTGACCCTGATTCTGCTCCTCTGTTCATAATAACCACTCGTCACTATCTTGTTATAAATATTTATTACCTGTTCCTCCCCACTAGAAGGTAAACTTCAAAAAACAGGCACTCGTTTGGGTATGTTTTAAGTGAATCATGAACAGTTTGTAATCTACACAGTAGGTGTTCCACAAACATATACTAACTCAATGAAAAAAGTCAAATTTACCTGTCAATCATTTCAAATATATTAAATCCTTTTCAATGAGTCTTAAGGAAAAAGTCAAGATAAAGTGATTTAAGGAACAAACATTTAATATTGTTTATCTAAAAGACTACTCATAACAAAGACTGTGCTGTCTTAATTTATTTCAAATTTGGAAAGAATACTTACAATGTAAGGAGTTATGAAATGGGGATTTGAAAGGAAGTGAAATATATATATCAAACATACTGCACGAGATATTTAAAGCCAAAAATCAAATTAAGTCAAATCATCACATGTAATTTATGCCAATATTAATGATGTAAGCATATTACAGAAGTAAAAATAATTTTAATTCCTCAGGTTATTTGCTACCATATTTTGCCAAGGAGTAACAAGGGAAAACATAAGAACAGATTCATGAAAATTTCAAATAGAATAAATTTCTGTGAAACACGAAACTAATGTTGTCTAGAAGTATAATACCTTAGTTGTAAATCTACCTTTATCAGTGAGGCTCATATAAAATTATAATCACTATGAAAACATATTTTAAATAGAAGCCCAAATACTCAGAATAGGTATATGGAGCACTAATTCAACTGACAGATAAAAACACATTGCAGAAATGATAGAACACATTTATAATGTGATGTGCATTGTAGCTATCACAGGGATTATTAATTTGTTTTTAAAAGTCTGTTAGGTAAGCTATTCTAATTGAAAAATACTCATTTTGTCAGGCTGAGCAGGATAGTTCTTAGTAATATTGACTACTTTAGGATTGTGTATGCATTATTTTAAATATTTGGAAATATCTAAAATGACTCAATTCCTTTTATTCCTTCATATTTTCTTAATACTTCCTTTCAAGGTCATTTTCTTTTCTCAATGACTGGATATCAAACTACCTTTGACTGCTTTCACTTAATGTAGGTCTTCAGTTAGAT